TAAGGGACGACAACGATGAACTGGAAGGAAAATAAACGAGTGATGCTTCGGTTGCCGTTTAGTACAATATCCACTCAACGCTTTATCCTGATGAGTGGAAGAAGCGCCTTGAGGACAGACCCGGTGTGTTTAACTTTTTATACCACTATGCCCCTAAGTTCGCATCTTTGGTATGCATCCATTCATAGAGTATATCGTACACACCAAACAAGCTTACTGAAACATCTGCAAGTTGAAGGCACCCAGAAGCATGGATTGACGCAGATTCTGAACTCGCAATTTATCCAGTGACAAACTACATACAATGCCAATTGACAACGGGTTGTTGCGGGTGACAAACAATCAGTCTGGGGGAATGACACGAGCCTGAAGGGGAAAAGGAGATAGTGGAGGATGAAAAACCAAAGGTTAAAAAAGGTTGAAATATCTTAGTACTAAACTTATCATTATTGAGCCGGCTAGATGCAATGGGCAGCAAGGTACCGAATTTCTTGCGCGAAGGCCTTTGCAGTACAGAATTCTTATTTCGTGTTTTTTTAATTACACATCGATGCGTGGACAGCAGACGGGGTGGAACCCCATAGTCACGAAGACCTGCTGTTCAGTGATGGTAGCTGGAAACCTAAACCCCAGGACTTGGAGTGGCAAACTACATAAGACCCGCCAGGTTGGGTGTGGTATTGAACCGGACGACAGCAAAGCTGTCTAGCACCACAGTTGGGTGGCGGTGGCGGAGATCCAACCTCGAACCACAGGATCCAAAGCACACCGGTGACAGCGACTAAACCACTGCGCCATCAGTTTGACGGATGGGTATTGATAATCACTATACAGGAAAAGGATTGGGGGTCCCCGGCCAAAAACCTTTAGTTCTGACAATAACCTAATCACAGGGCAGTTGTTAAGATAAAGTAGTGATCGACTAATTATCCCTTCATTATTTTTATCTACTCTGACACCCACTAGAGTCGAACCACAAACCTGGAGGATTAGGGAACTGGACACTGCCCTCTAATCTTTCAAATACTGTATATTTTCATAAGCATTCGGTGTAGGTTTTGGGGTCACAAAGGTGCACAAACTACTACTACTACTACATGAAATCCCAAACTCCCAGCAGTAGTAGTGCTTATATTGAAGCCTGTACTTAGAGCAGAACCCAAAGGAACAGAATGAACTAATGAGTGAAGCGGAATCTACCGCTTTGGAGCACTGGTTCGTTGGGACTGAAGTTGGAAAAAAGCAGCCAAAAACTTGCACTGGCAGTAGCCAACAGTAGTGTCGTTGGAAATATTTGTGGAACATCATCCCTCGATATACGAGTATTAGTTATCGGTTCACTTGAGTGCATAATGTTCATCAATAATTGCGGAGTTTACACCATTCATTTTAATATTTTGAAGGTGGCCGAAATAAAAAGATTTTTCTTCAAAAACATGGATTAACACATTAGTTGACAACCGCTTACCGNGATAAAACCACGTAGCACGACGGATTTCCGACGGTGGTTCGCTCCAGTAAACTGACTTGCGCTGTCGTTGTGTGAGATCCACGTCATAACGACCGCCCTCAACAGGAACTGTCGTTGATTTTGCCAGGCCTGAAACTAGCAGATCCTCCGATAAAGGGCTTGGGAGTCGTGACCGAAAAGATTCTGTCTCAAGTTGATATGAATCACGACGCGAAAAGGGCCACCAAATTTTGTTGCCATCCACATTTGTTGCGTAGAACCAGTAGGCTTCAGCAGGTTTATAAGCAGCTGCGTGATTTTAAACGAGGACAATATTGAGACAGTGAGACTGGGGACGACCTTTTGTGGGTCTTGTGCACAAGTTTTCATCAGCTGAATAGGAATGAGCAACCAAATGTTAATTTATGAAAGCGTCAATACCAAAAGGCCAACTGAGTGCCGCGAAGTCTCTTCTAACTATGTCAAATCAAGTCACATAATTGTTCTATACATCTCTGTAGGTGAGTGCGTAAGTCACATAAAGATTATACAGAAACCAAGGAGTGGAGTAGTATGATGCTCGCACCTCCGTTTTCTGTAATATGCTGCAAACACGCACGAGAAGGGTCATGAAGTTTGAAATATTGTTCGATTACAGATTTGCAGAAAACTATTACGTCATTCCTATTCAATTTTGTCGTCGACATTGGAGAACGCACTAAGTGGTCTCTAAAACATAGGTATCGAATGGGCAGCTGGAGAAAAGCTGTGCGATTTAGAGTACGCTGATGATATCGTTTGTCTGTTCGAATGTATGGAGGATGCGCTCTTGATAGACTTTCAGGCTCTGTAACTCGTTTCGGCCTACGCTTTGCAAAGTGATGCTGCATTGCTGCTGGGTGTTGTCTACCTGATGCTTGATAGTCCAGAATGAAGTATAGTGAAGACGCGATGTTTCACTGAAACTGAAAGATCGTGTACACTTTGCCAAGTTCCGCTCATTTCTGCTTCACGGTTGCGAGACCCTTAATTTGCGTGTGGAAGATACTCATCGTCTAGAAGTCTTCGATTGTCGATGTTTACGTAGTTCGACGCGGGCTGAATTGAGCGAACGTGTAAACAACTCTGAGGAAATTACCTGGTAACGATTCGATGGAAAATTCGTTATCACATAGAATTTAGATTAGCAGGCTTCAGTGGTTAGGGCACATATTGCGTATACCCAACTATCGTCTGCCGCACCGCGCTTTATTCGCTGTGGCCTCTCCGGGTTGGAGGGGACCACGTGGAGGTTAACAGACGACGTGGAGATGAGGTATGAAGAAATGCAGTCATTAGGTAGACTAGATGTCTCCCGCCTTCCCGGTTGGGGTCCGAAAGACTCCGCAACTGATTAGTTGGAGACATTGAAGGATACGACTGCTAATCGACAGCAGTGGAGTTCTTGTTATCAATTCTTATCGGACCAGAACGTTTGAAAAAAGTATGCATGCGTAGTTAGCTGGTATACCCTGTGTGTTGATCATTGAGGTCCACTTTCTTTGCCTCTCAATCCCTCTCCATCTTGTACTTTATCGCTTAATTTTTGTATAATGTGAGCTTGGCAGCGATCAGTGAAGTTGGTTTCACTGTATCTCGCTGTTCGATGATGATGATGCCGTCAGACTCCTTAATTGCTTCACTTAAGCATACTTCCTTGGACCGGTACTCCTAATTAAACGAAAAAGATTGCAACTATTACCAATATCCGCAATCTTCTACATCTCTCTACACTTCCCTACCCACCACTTCTAGCGGTCATTCCTCGATCGTGCGCAGAATCCACCGCTGTTTTGATTGAAATTCGGATTGCTTCCTTGATTTGCTTCCAGTGTTTACTGAGTCCTCTGGTTGATAGTTGAGCTGAAAGGCGGTCTGATAGTTCCGCTTCGAAGGCTGATTTGCAACTATTGCTGACACTGTATTGTGGGCATCCGTTTTCGGTGGCCTTTCTATGGATCTTTACTAGGCGCAGGGAGAATCTCGTTCTTGGAAGAGCATGGTCTGTGTCCATGGGTGTTGACCAGTAGGAGTGGCAGTCTTGAACCGATTCTCTCCAGCGGTGGCTGATTCCGATGTGGTCGATTTGAGTCCAGCTCTGTGAAGCGGTTGGCGGTCTCCATGTAAGCCGGTGTTGTTACTTGTGCGAGAAATTGGTGTTTGACAGTCCGTGGTCGGCGCAAAGCTGCAGAAGGGGTTCTCTATTGTCAGGCCGGTGAGCTAGGATTGCATGTGAATTACCAAGGATCCTTTCTGATTCCTCCAGGGATCTCACTTGAGCATTGAAGTCTCCAGCGACTACCACGATGTTCGTCGACCGAGCGATTTGGAGTAGTTGAGAGAGGTCCTTGTAGAATTCATCTTTCAATTCTGGCGAACTGCAAATAGTTAGTGGATACACCGATATGACGTATACGCATCGACGCTTCGTTCTCTAGCTGTTGATTCGTACTGAACCATCCAGACGTACAGCGCAAAGTCGGCTACCCATTGAAATCCAGTCAAGAAGCGAGCACTCAGCCTTGGCACCTAGCGCAATCTCAACATCAGCAACACCGCGAGCTTCGGATGCCGAATCGCCTTACACACGAAGGGTGAAGCGCGAGGATGAGGTTGGATCTGGAGAACGCCAGGATATGATTGAAGTAGGGTCATATATGAGTATTTTGGAGACAGCTTACATCTCAATAGAAAGTTTCAAGGGTTCTAGGTCAGGCGGCTTGTTGACTGATCTAGCAGTGTGCGGATATTAAAAGCTTCATCATCATTGTACAGCGAGATACAGTGAAGCCAACTTCACTGATCGCTGCCAAGCTCACAATGCACACAAATCAAGTGATAAAGCACAAGATGGAGAGGGATTGGGCCTAATTGGAAGAAGGCAACGAAAAAGAACCTTTATGGTTAACACACAGAGTACATGATCTACGTGTACATACATACCTATTCAAACATTCTGACATGATAAGAAATGACAACAAGAACGCCACTACTGTCGGTTAGTCGCCATATCCTTCAATGTCTCCAACCAGCCAGTTGCATTCTTTCGGACCCAACCTGGAAGACGGGAGACACCGATTCTACGTAATAGCCCTGTGCATTTCTTTATACCTCGCTTCCACGTCATCTGTTGACCTCCACACGGTTTCTTCCAACCTAAAGCCGCAACTGCGAATAGGGCGCGGTGCGGCAGACGACGGTTGGACATATTATTATTATATTTCACGTCTGTCTGAGGCCAGACTGTGCCAAGCAAATCATGGTACAATAATCTTTATAAAAGAAAAAAAACATTCCATGATTGGCTTGTAGGCTGAATACTGCCAGGTTGCCCATGCCAAAGCAGGTGAATTTTCTTGAGGAATCTATAACCGGAGGCTTCGGCTAAACAAAGCCCGGCCCGAAAGGCAGCGGGGCGATGTGAAAACCGCAATCTATTGGGGGCCAGTGTCCAGTTCATCGGATCATTCGCCCTTTGAACGGGGTCAGACGTCCGAGGTGCCCAATACACCTCAATGCCCAATCGAGCCACAACCGAAAAGGTGTGGGTGTGGTTCGTACGCCTACTCATGGTTGGTTTGGAATCAGGGTTTTTGATCAACTCCTCTAGGTGAGCTGCCATTGGTCCACCAACCCGGTTAGAGCCCTGGATGTCGGCTTTTCGTCCTCTCACTTTGGTGCGAAAACACCTCCGCCACGAGAAGGCAGTGAGTAGGGCTTCCTCAGCAGAGGTTATTTGAGACGCTTGGTCGTATGGGAGCATTACGTGAGGTGCAAGGGAAGGGTGATCAGCCGCAACCCTAGACACCCACCCCCGACCATACTGAGGCTTTCGGATGGCTGGACATGCGCAATACGTCGCCTAACCAGCGAAGCCGACTAATATGAATTCGATGGGATAACGAATTCTCCATAGAATCATTGCCAAATACGAGACGACCCACCTCAGAGTTGCTTACAAACTCGCTCCATCCAAACCCGCGCTAAATTACGTAAACATCCGCAGTCGAAGAATTCTAGGCGACGAATATCTTCCACACGCAAATTAAGGGTCTCGCAACCATAGGGCAGAAATGACCGCACACTGGAGCAGTATACGTGACCTTTCAGTTTCAACGAAACATCGCGTCTGCACCAAAGGTGTTTCAGCCCTGCGTAAGTTGCTCGAGCCTTGGGAATGCGGGCGGTTACTTCATTGACTATGCTACCGTCATTTGAAACGCGGCTATCTAAGTAGGTGAAACATTCCACTACATCTAATTCTTAACCAAGCATGAGTGCTGGAATAGACGACACCCAGGCTTGCAGCATCACTTTGCACTTTGAAAGTGCAAAGCGCATGCCGAAACGAGTTACAGAGCCTGAAAGTCCGTCAAGAGCGCATTGCGCATCCTCCATCGATTCCAATAGGCACGATGTCATCAGCGTACTCTAAATCGCACAGCTTTTCTCCAGCTGCCCATTCAATACCTACGTTCTGGAGGCCAGTAAAGGCGTTCTCCGGTACTTCGTCTACAACGAAATTGAACAGGATGGCGAAATAGGGCACCCTTGATGAACACTACTCCTGGTTTCGAACAATTTACTTAGCCCACTGTTTACGCTTATTCTACAAGTATGCAGGTACAGCGACCCCAGAAGAGCTTCACGATCAACTGAGTCGAAGGCTTTTTTAGGTCAAGGAACACTGCGATTGTTGGCCGA